CCGTGCCGCCCCAGAGAAGCAGGATACTCCTCGCACAATGCAAGCATGAGCGGGAGGAGCAATCGCGTTTGGGCCGCTTTTGCCTTCAGGCGCGGGTGGTCAGAGGTAGGCGTGAGCTGTTTCCATTTCAGCTTTCTAATAACAGACAGTTGCTTCCTATTAGACAGCCTGCGCATCATATAAAACGATTTCATTCGCCTGCGCAAAGCGAACAAGTTCTGCATCCTGCGGTCTTCGATGGTGGGTGTGCTGGGCCCCCACACATGGACAGGGCATCGCCCCTCACCCCCGCCCCCCTCCCCCTCCGTGGGAGATGGAGAAGAGGAGGGACGGTGCCGTACCCATGTTTGCGGGCCCAGTGCTTTAGTGGACCCTGCAAAATTATTCTCGCACAGATTGAACATTACTGCGCCTGCCACGTACTGAGACACTCATAAATCAAGAACGTGCATGGCGTCTAAATGGACGCTATCGATACTAAACCCAGGGATAATAAATAGAGGGGTAATGATATTTATTTGCCCGACACGAGATGTGTCGAACAAATCGAGAAACGCTGGCAATTGAACGTCAGCAACCTCGCGTATGTCACGAACATATTCATTTTCAAGGAGGCGGTGTCCAGCTACCAGTTGGAGCTGCGGAAAATCTTCCGTTAAGCAACGGCCGCCGCGGGTTTCGTCAAAATGCATTTTGCGCACGAGGCGGCGCAGAAGCGGCCTCGAGGATACCATCCGTCGTGTCATAGTACGGCCGACTTCGGTCTCATAGGTGTTAGCAGTTCGTTCTGTCCACCGACACCTTGCCACAGAACGATCGAATTCGTAGAGTTCCCCCCTCTTCGCCATGCAACAGAAACACGGGTGTTCAAAATTCTGCCAACTCTTGAAACCGAGACTAGTGACCATCTCAAGGAGGTCGGCGCGGTATTCGCACAGCGCGCCGACCACGCCATCGGCGAGGGGGAAACCTCGCCGCGCCGAGCGGAGTTCGTCCTCAAATGGCACACCATTGTGGTCAAGTGATGGCCATTTGCCTGCGGCGAGACACCCGAACGACCAAGCTAGAATCCGATGTATTCCACCCATTGTGCACCACCCCTTACACCCACACGCGCAAAGGTCTGATTTTTTTATTGTGCAGATCAAGTGCCGTTTCGGCGCCAAGTGGCAAGAATAATAAAAGCACACAAACGAATCTGATTTAGAGTATGGGACTCCGTCTGAGTAGAGAGCCAAAGGGCACGATAAATGACCGTGCTCTCGAGTCAGAACGTGTGAAGTGTACGTAGAAGGTAAGTTGTCAGCGCGTGCCTTCCTGACGTCGAATTGCCCAGGGTCCATTTCGTACAAGTGCGCGAAATGTTCATGCGGCAGCATCATTGGGAAATCGATGTGCTTTCGACACTGCCGAGCACTATCCCAAACTGGCAATCTAGAACTGAACATATGCCTGCGGACATCCAACATACCACACGCACGTCTCAGATGCTCGGCATAGTGCGTCCCTCCTGGACGTTTGGCTAGGTCCCCCACGCCAACTGCACCTCAAGAACGTGCCAAAATGGATTGGCCGAAACCCCCGTACATATACGTGTATATATACATATATGCATGTACATCTATAAGAATATGTATAGCTATATGCAGCTCCATATCTATATCTCCACTTTTGGACCCTTCACTATCTTGTTCAATATCATAATTCAGCGCACGCCCCGAAACAGGGAGAGCGATAGAGAAACAGAGGGAGAGAGCGAGAGAGAGGAACGCAGGCGGGGAGATAGGACGTCGAAGTTCGGCTGGGGAGGGCTGCGGGAGAAATAACCAGAAGGGGAGACGATACGCACTCAAGGTTCACGGGGGGCGGGGGTTCCACCAATCCATTAGAGGCCGTTGCGCACCAGCAGTTGCAGCGTGATGGCAAATGATGCAAACGTCAGCTGCAGTCATATGGCCTTGCTTATATTGTTGCAACAAAAATGTGCGCAGTCCAGATCCGTCTGGCGCGTCGTCTGGGTCAGCGCGCGGGACGCCTCCAGCTGCGCGTGGGACGCCTCCAGAGCGGGAGCCAGCAGCGCGGGGGGCGCCTCCAGAAACCAAGAGCGCCGCCGCGGCAGCCCGCGACATCACGCGATAAACAACGCAAATTGGATACGTGCTCGAGCGAAATTGGTTCGAGCAAACGCTTACGGATCCTCGCACAAACAATCGAGGAATGGTGCCGTGGATCGTGGCCCTCGTTTACCTCACATCCTCCTGCCCCTCGATAGGGTCTTAAAGCATTTAAGGGTTTCCCCTGGGTCCCAGTGACATCCTGAACATGGGATACCACGTGGAAACAATCGAGACACCATCGGGACACCATGGGGACACCATCGGGACACCATCGGAACATCATCGGGACACCATCCAACATCAAATTACAAATCAACGCTACCGCAGACCCGAGCGTAAACTTGAACACCACATTACAGTTTGAAGCACCCCTCAAACTTGTTTTTGAGCTGGATTGGCAGCCTCACGTGTGACCGCCGTCGCGTATCCCTTAATTGGCCCTCGAAGTTGTTTCACCCCCCTTCGGTTATGCGTTGCACCCTAGTTGCGTCGAGAGGGGCAGGCGGGGGACCAAGCGGCAGCGTGCGGAACATTTTCATGTCACCAGGACACATGAGACAGGGGGACCCTCCTCGATAGCATGCAAGCTTGCCTCGTAGCTCCATCATCGATGCCACGAGCACGTCCACCCCTCCCTGCGCCAATATAGAACGTATGCCAGATAGACAATCGAACCGATTCTGCGCGGGCTGGTGGCACGTGCAGCTTAAGTCGCATGCCTGCCAGCGTGGGCCCCAAACAGTGAGTTAGTGGAATCTGGATGTGCAAACCACGTGGTGCAAACTACGCTGTGCATGCTGTGTGTTGCAAGCTCTGTGATGCAATATCTGTGGTGCACGCTGTGTGGTGTAGTCTACGTGGTGCACACATGTGCGGTGCAAGCTGTGTGGTGTAGCATACGCGGCGTAAACCCCGAGCTTCGCAGGCACACTTCCCATGTCTTGACCATGACGTCTCCATCCTCGTCCTCCCCTTCCATCCTCGATCCTCAGCCTCATCTCGCTCAACACGGACAGTCTCTTGGATATTGTTTCTTTCTTGTCGGTTGCAACCGAATCAATGCACTCCGCGCGCTGGCGACGCGCGCCATAACGACGCTGCACCAGCCCACCGTGAACCTAGTGACCCTTTATCTGGCAGTGATCCGTCCCCTCACGCATGTCACCTCCATCCCAGCAGTGCATTCATCCTTGTCTGTTTCACGTCCCGAGCCGTGCCCCAGCTCGTGCAGATCTGCAGTCGACCGCAGCTCGAGCTGAGCTGTCAGCATGCACATGCATGCACCCTTCTTCAAACTGCCTGCCTGCTCGAGCCTACGCCATCATGCTGCTGTTGGCCTGCGACACCGACTGCTGCACGGGGAGGATGAGCTCGTAGAACTTCTTGGCCTCGAGGCCAGTAAGTTATACGACGAAGGAGATGCCCAGCTCCCTCCTCGGAATGACCTCTTGGCCTTGAATGCCCCGTTGATGGGGTCGTGTGTTCCTCCGATCGTCACCCTCCTCCGAATTCCTTATCCATCCGATCCTCCACGTCATCCTCCTCCTTATCATTCCCCCCCCCTTACCATATAATGTGCCACATGCCCTCCTCTCCCCCTTCTCTCCTCATTAGCATCCCTATCGTCAGCATCATCTTTATCAATCCTCCTCCTCCTCCTCCTCCTTGTCTTCCTGATCAGCCTCGTCCTCCTCCTCCTCGTCATCCTCCTCCTCCAGCCTCGGTGATTTTGGCCACGCATTCGCGGTAGGTGATCTCCGCGTCGTCGCCCCTATAGCGATGGGCCGAGCCGAGGAGTTCGGTTCCCCCCATCTCTCCTCGAGGCGTGGAGGAGGGATGGCATGCGACATGCATGCCTCCTGTACCCCCAGGCGAGAGAGAGCGCACCGAACCCCTTAGCTGGATGTCCCCTCGCATGACCTCTGCTGCACGTGCATGGCCAGCGCGTCCTGCACTTCCTTCATCTCAGTCGAGTGCTTCACGAGCTCCGCTGCCCACGGCGTCAACCACGGCATGCTGTGCACCTGGGCTGGCCAATCGAGCCCGTCTTCGATGTCCGTGCCAAGTTCCTACTTGGCGAGCTCGAGCTCGCTAATCTGGAGCTTAGCTTCGATCTAGATCGAAGCTAATCTCCAGATTCTCTAGAACTAGATCGAACTAGAGTTCGCTAACCAGAGCTCGGGTTAGCGAACTCGAGTTCGCCAATCGGGAACTTGGACGGGAGCTCGATCAAGGGCCAATCAACGCATCCTTCCCTCCCACGTCCCAGCCGCTCAGGAGCGCGAAGAGGTGCGCCGCCGTCCCGAGGTTCCCCGCCGCCGTGTCTCCAATGGGACCAACCGCACCAGCAGGACGCGCAGTGTTGCCAGCGGGAGCAGCACGTGCTGCAGGCTGCATGTCCTCATCTAGCGTCACATCGTCGTTATCCCCTCCCATCCTCCTCATCCTCCTCATCTTCCTACTCCTCATCCTCCACCTCTGCCTACCAATCCTACTCATCATCCTACTCCAGGGGGCCCATCCTCGCCCCACTCATCTCCTCCTCTTCTCCTCCTACCCGTCCTCCTCTTCATCTGCCTACCATCATACCCATCATCCTACTCCAGGGGCCCATCTTCGTCCCACTCATCTCCTCATCCTCCTACTATTCCTCCTTTTCCTTATCCTCCTCCTCCTCCTCCTTTTCCTCCCCCTCCCCCTCCTCATCTTACTCTTCCTCCTCCTCCTCCTCCTCCTCCTCCTCATGCCCCCCTCCTCCCTCTACGCTTTCTCATCCTTCCCGCGAGGAGGGCGACGGGAACTCCTCCTCGCTGTCGCTGTAGCTGTAGCTGGACGTGTCGTCATCCGACGGGGCTGCCTCGGGGAACCCATCTTTCATTTCCTTCACCCCTCGACCTCCGCAGGATCCTCGAAGACGAGGCCTGCGGGGAGGGGGTAGTACACTGGAAAGATGTGTTCCCTTTGTAAGCCTTGTTGTGTATGGCACGTTGAACGTGTTCAACTGGTGTCGCAGTCTTGCTCAGGCGCGTAGTTATCGTCTGCTCGTGAATGTGGGCCTGCGACTCGGTCCTCTCCACACGCTTGTACACTTCCTCCCCGCGCTGCAGGTCCGTCTGGGCGGTGGGGGAGTGGAGAGAGTAACAGGGAGCTCGAGGAGGATATTCATGGATCGATCGATGGATCCATCGCTGGCCAGCTCTATCGATGGATTCTTCGAATGAGCCATCGATGGATTCATCGATCGACCATCGGGAGATGGGGGACTAGCCTCATCCTTCCTCTCTTCCTCCTCCTCCTCCTCGTCCTCCCTCATTCTCATCATCCTTCCATCCCCCCCACCAACCCTTCGTTCCGTTCTCATGTTCATCCCGACTTGCCTTCACGAAGCCGCGCATCGCCTTGCAGCACGCAATCGTCGCATCAGCCCGCGCCACGGCCCTGCGAGCGAATGTGTTCTCATCATCTCCTTGCTCCTCGAGCTCCTCCTCCTCGTCCTCGCTCCTCCTGTTCATCCTACCCCCACCGTTCTCTGAATCACCATGACGTTCTCCTCTTTCTAGCCTCCTCCTCTTCCTCTTCCTCCTCCTCCTCCTCCTCCGCCTTATCCTCCTCCGTTTCCTCCTCCTTCTCCTCCTCTTTCTCGTCCTCCTCCTCCTCCTCATCATCACATCCTCCTCCTCCTCCTCTTCCTCCTCCTCCTCTTCCTCCTCCCCCTCCTCCTCCTCGCTCCTCCTCCTCCTCCTCCTCCTCCTCCTTCTCCCCCCTCCTCCTCAGGCCTCTGGGATACGAGGCTGTCGGGCTCGTTCCAGTTGAAATTGTAGAGGGTGAGGAGGCCGTCGCGCGTGTACCAGGTCGACTCCTGGCCAGAACTGATCTGCTGCTTCTGGCTCTCAACTTTCTCCATCTCGACGAACTCGAAGTTGCCTCGATCGAGGGGGGTGGTATCGCTCCTCCTCCTCCTCCTCCTCCTTCGTCTCCTTCGGCGGTTTCCTGGCCCAGGCCCTGGGGTCGGCATCGGGGATTGGTTACCTCGACCGATCCGTGACGCCTGTCTCCTGCCAGCGTCTCAGCCAGTGCCGCTTTTTGGACTGGGACAGCTGGTCGTACTCGTCTTTCAGTTGCTTGCTCGTCTTCCCCGCGCGGTAGCTGGGGTGGATTTTAATATATTCAGGCCCCTCGAGGGCGCACGGGATCCCGAGGCCCCTTGAGGCCAGTCCTGGGCCGCCTATAGGCCCCGTGATCGGGAGCCCGTGGGGCAAATTTCGGGATCCAGTACACCCCTCGGGTTAATCGATCGTTATACCCAGATCGGTCCGCAGGCGTTGCAGCGCATTCTCATGTTCAGCGTCGAGCTTCCGCTTCGCTTTCGCAGCGTCCGACGCCCTGGCGGCCTGGATCGATCGGCACCGGAGGGCTCGATAAAGGGGGGGGGGGGTCGATCGACGGCGCGCTCGACCACCTCCGTTAATTGTGGGGAATTCTATATACGCGCCGTCGGCGCCTTGCCGTCCTTGCCGTTCTTTTTTGTTTCCCCTCTTTCTTGGGCGGCATGGCAGTCACCTGTCCCGCAGGTAGATCTACGGCTGTGAAATCAGGGGGGCCGAGCTCGGCTTGGTGGCATTCAACTACAAGCTTAGGGCTAGGGTCGGGCTAGGTGCACCTAGGGGCCCATGGGGGGGTCGGGGTCGGGGTCGACGGTGGGGGGTCGGGCTAGGTGCATGCCTAGGCGATCTGCGCGGCGCAGCCCGTGGGTAGGGGGCGGGGCGGGGCCACGGTGCCACGGGGCGGATCGAGGGGGGTCACCGCGGGGCAGGCGCGGGGGTACCGCACGCCGCGCGGGGGGAGGGGGGCACGGGGGCTCGGGGTTTGCAAAATCTACGGGCCCTCGGGGGACCCAGGAAAACACATGAAAACACATGAAAACACATGAAAACACATGAAACACATGAAACACATGAAAACACATGAAAACACATGAAGACACATGAAAACACATGAAAACACATGAAAACACATGAAACACATGAAAACACATGAAAACACATGAAAACACATGAAGAAAACACATGAAAACACATGAAAACACATGAAAACACATGAAAACACATGAAAACACATGAAAACACATGAAAACACATGAAAACACATGAAAACACACATGAAAACACATGAAAACACACACATGAAAACACATGAAAACACATGAAAACACATGAAAACACATGAAACACATGAAAACACATGAAAACACATGAAAACACATGAAAACACATGAAAACACATGAAAACACATGAACACCAAACACATGAAAACACATGAAAACACATGAAAACACATGAAAACACATGAAAACACATGAAAACACATGAAAACACATGAAAACACATGAAAACACATGAAAACACATGACATGAAACACGCACGACGGACGCCCCGACCGATCTTGCCCACCACGCACGCCATCCCGACAGAAAAAACGCCACCTCGCCACGCCCTGACCCTCCGCGACGGCCGCGAAGGCCCCCCTCCGACGCACTTCGCCGCTGCGTCGTCCGCCTCTTGTCGACGTGGTGCGGGTTGATGTAGATCAGAGCTCCTGTATGGAGCATCGCCCAGGGCTTCCCACCACCAGCCCACCACGCACGCATGCCCCACCACCACGTAATTCCAGCTACCACCCACCCACAGCGCCCACCAGAACCCACCCGACCGCCCCAGCACGCGCACCGACCCGCCCACTCCCCGCGGAGCGTGGGTACGGCACTTCTCCGCTGCGTCGTCCGCCAGAGCTTGTCGACGTAGTGCGGGTTGATGTAGATCCAAGCCTTGGCTGGGGGAGGGGGGGGGGGGGCACGGTGAGGCGGGTGAGCGTGGGGGCTCAAGGATTTGGGTGTTTTTTGGGTGTAGGTTCGCAGTTGGGGTGTGTGTTTATGTTGTTTAGGTCGGTGTGTGTTAGGTTTAGGCCCTGCTGGGGCCCTTCCCGCGTCTTGCCACCAAGCCGAGATCGCAAGATCGAGCTCCCCCGTCTTGGCCACATGTGGCCCAGGGGGGGGTGCATGGCGACCCGAACTTGGGCTCAAGCCTTGGTTCGAGTAGCCACGCAATGGGCACGGGGAGCTCGACCACGGGCCCACGATCTGTTCGTGCCCCTCCGTCACCGCCCCGTGGGCGGCAGCGCTCGGGCGATCAAAATGATGCTCTCGAGCTCGCGCGTCAGCCGCGCGGGCGATCGAGGAGCGGAGGAAGGAGGGAGAGGAGGATTCACAAGGAAACGAATCAGCATACCCGAGCTTAGAGTATGTTCCTTAAGGTATGTGTGCACCCTGTGGTGCGGTGAGCTCGGGCATGCATATTCGTTTCATCAAGTGTTGATTTCTCGGAAATGCTGACCAAATTTCTTAAGTTGCGTTTGCGCCCTGAAGGGCGCCAGGCTCGGTTACCTGCTCACTTTTTTCAGCTTGTCGTACCCTGAGGGGCGATGCACAGGCTCTGACTTCAATATACCTTCCGAGCTTACAAACGGGTGCAGCTCAAACAAGTGAATCCGCATGTCTGGGTCTGTTGCTAACAGGGGGCACGTCAGCACAAGAAGTGCGAATACTCGAGCATCCTCCTCGAGATCCCCCCCTCGCGGGCCCCGTCCGATCTGACGTCCGCACTCTTTCGGCCGCCCGCCCGATCGACCGATCAGGCCGCAGGCCGCGGCTGCCTGACTGGGCGAGGGGCCGAAGGAGTGCGGACGCTCGATCGACGGTGCCCTTCTCCTCTTACCAAGGCTCACCGTGAATCACTTTCTCGCGCGAGCTGGCTCGCGCCCAATCCGAAATGCTCTAGAGAGCTCCGTGCGTGCCCCTCTCTGGGGGGGGGGGGCATCCTAAACTAGCAATGTACACATTGCCCCGCTCGAGCAGCCGCCGCTGCTCCGTCCAGGATCACGATGTTCCACCTCTGAGGTGGAGGGAAATATGGAAAGATCGAGGATGAGGAGGAGAAGGAGGAGGAGGAGGAGAAGGAGGAGGAAGGAGATGATAAAGCAGAGGAAGCGGATGAGGACGACGATGATGAGGATGATGATGATGATGAGGGTGATGATGAGGATGAGGGTGATGATGAGGATGCTGCTGATGATGCTGATGATGATGCTGATGCTGATGACAAGGATGATGATGATGAGGATGATGATGATGCGGATGACGATGATGATAATGGTGATGCGGATGAGGAGGAGGATGATGAGGGGGAGGAGGATGACGATGATGCTGCTGATGATGATGCTGATGATGATGGATATGATGATGCTGATGATGCTGATGATGATGGTACTGAGGACGATGATGATGCTGCTGCTGATGATGATGATGATGGTGATGATGATGCTGATTACGATGATGATGCTGATGATGATGATGATGATGCTGATGAGGAGGAGGAGGAGGAGGAGAAGGAGGAGGGGGATGAGGAGGACGAGACGGAGGAGCAAGGATGATGAGGACGATGAGGAGGAGGACGAGGAGAACCAAAGAAAAGGAAGACGAGAACGGAGAGGAGGAAGATGACAAGGAGAATGAGGAGGAGGAGGAGGATCGAAGAGGAAGAGGATCAGGACCTAGGACGAGTGAGGGCACGGCGGGCGGATGGGGAAGCGGTGGGATCGAAGAGAGGGGTGATTATGAGGAAGAGGAGGCGACGACGACGAGCCCACCTGTTGTTCACGATGTGTGACCCTGGATCTGATCCACGACGCTGTCCCTGAACCTGAGCACCCTCTTCTTGTCCACTGTCTTGTGATCGTGGGCCATCGCCATGACCATCTGAGGGAAAATCAAGACGACATCCGATGCCACTTCTGTCTGGCATGGGCCTCATCATAGCGGACATTCGCTAACATCGGATGGCGTCTTGATTTTCGTTGGGAGGGGGGGGGTGCTCTCCTCGCATCCTGCTCGGCCTATGCCCCATCCCACCCATCCCCCTTCGCCTCATCCTCGATGTTCCTACTCACCCCCGCTCCTCATATCATCCTCATCTACATCCTTCTCCATGACCTTCTTCGAGCATGCCCCTCTTAGATCTTCCTTGCCTCCTCCCCTTACCCTTCCTCCTTGAGTCACCCCCGCCCTATCCAATCATCTTCCTCTTTGGTCTATGTATAGAATCATCCGTCCTCTCCTCCTCTTTCTCCTCATGTTCCTCTTGGGTTTCCCCGACCCAGGTCGGACCAGCATACATCGATGGCTCAGGTCCGCCCTCGCTGCATCGTCAAGGTCGGTGGAGGTCCAATCCTTGTCTTTCACGCTGACCAGCTGGAACGCGGGATCCTTCGTGCCTGCTACCTTGTAGTACACGCAGCCGATCTTCTCGCTCGCCCTCCTGATGAGAAGGTGGAAGGAGGTGAGGGAGGAGGATGAGAGGGTCTGAGGACGAGGATTGCCAGATAAATTATCATCTGACCCGATGTCGGATCCTCCGCGGCCCGAACGCCCGATCAACCCCTCAGGGTCCAAGGAGGGGGAGGCGGAGGAGGAGACGGAGGAGGAGGAGGAGGACGAGCAGGAAGAGATGAGGACGACGACGAGGATGAGGATGAGGGAGAAGGAGGAGGAGATGAGGATGCCGAGGAGGATAGGCGATATACAGGAGATGAGGGCGAGCAGGACCAGGAGAAGGAGCAGCAGAACGAGAAGCAGGAGACGAGTAGCGGATGCGCCAGCTGGAGAGAGGGTCTGAGGAGGAATCAAGCAGGAGGCTCGAAGAGGACGAGCAGGAGTAGGATGAGGAGGGGGGGCGTGAGGAGGACAGTCCTCCTGTAACTGACAAAGTACGTGACGCCGAGCTCTGCCTCGTAAGTGAAGGGCCCAGAGTAGAGCACAGGCTCGCCTGTGCTGTGAGTGCATGTTCTGTATTCTCCCTCCCCACCGTCGATCCTCGAATCCTCGAGTCTCGATTGCCCTCCACGTCCTCGTTTTGTTCCTCCATGCTCTTCTCTCCTCCCTCCCCTTTCCTGTGCCATCCATCCTCCTCCCTTCGTCGTTCCTCCTGTTCATTATCATGCTCATCCACCTGCTTCGTCTTGGCCCTCATCCCTCGATGTACGTCGACCCTCGATATCCTCCATCTCCTCGATCTCCTCGGCTCTCATCCCCATTTCATCGTCAATCATGTCAGCTCGCCTGCGTCATGCGCGGAATCCTCGACGTCGATGGCCTCCGCGCCGTCGACCGTCTCCACGCCGTCCTCGGGCTTGGCGTCGATCGCCTCCGCGCCGTCGACGGCGACGATCGCCTCCGCGCCGTCCTCGGGCTCCTCGGCGTCGACGATCATCTCCGCGCCGTCCTCGACGATCGCCTCCGCGCCGTCCTCGACGATCGCCTCCGCGCCGTCCTCGGGCTCCTCAGCGTCGACCGCCTCCGCGCCGTCCTCGTCGACGATCGCCTCCGCGCCGTCCTCGTCCTCCTCGGCGTCGCCGTTCTCCTCGCCGAGCTCCTCGACCTCCGCGGCCACGCTCTGCACCTCGAGACGGAGCGAACAAGATATTGGAGGAGCGGGAGCTCGAGGGAGGGGGCTGCGCAGGGATGTATGCCAAGTTTATGTTGTTCTTGATTCTTCCCCTCGCTCTAGGCATGAAGGGAACAGCCGCGAACGGTATAGGATTGGCACCCCCGCGCCCGCTCGGACGTCAAAGCTGACCATCGGGGAGGATCGACGAGGAGGAGGACGACGACGGAGCAGTTAGATCAGCCGCGGCACCGCGGCTGCAGGCCGCTTCAGCGGCGAGGCAGCAGGCCGTTTCATTGTCGCCATCTTCGCCTGGGCCTGCTTCGCCTGCGCCATCTGCTTCGCCTTGGCCATCTGCTTCACCTGCGCCATCTGCTTCACCTGCGCCATCTGCTTCGCCTGCGCCATCTGCTTCGCCTGCGCCATCTGCTTCGCCTGCGCCGCCATCTGCTTCACCTGCGCCATCTGCTTCGCCATCTGCTTCGCATGCGCCACCTGCGCCGCCTGCTTCGCCTGCGCCATCTGCTTCGCCTGCGCCATCATCTGCGCCATCTGCTTCGCCTGCGCAGGCCGCTTCACCACTGGCAGGAAGAGCTGCTCCTCCTTGACGACCTTGAGGCGCTCGAACTTCTGCGCCGCCGTCGGGCGCGCGGCGGCGCCGCCGTCCCGCTGCACGAACTTTCTCCTCTGCGCCGCCGTCCTAGGGCCGCGTCGACCGATCGATCGACCCGATCCGTCCACCCACCGATTGATGGGCCCATCGATCGATGGGTCGACCCATCGACCAATGGGCCCAAGATCCTTGGATCGATATCATCCTCAATGGATCGACGTATTGATCGATTCATCGATTCCTCGATTGACGCTGAATTAGAAGTCAGCTGGGAAAACTTCGATCACCCCTATCCATGTGTAGATCTTCCTCCTCCTCCTCCTCCTCCTCCTCGTCTGCTTCCTCCTCCTCCTTCTCCTTCTACACCTCCTCCTCCTCCTCCTCCTCCTCCTCCTCCGTTGATTCCTCCTGTTACTTGTCGTCCCCCTGCTCCTCCTAGTATACCCCTCCCCCTCCTCCTCCTCCTCCTCCTCCTCCGCCTCCTCCTCCTCCTCCTCTAGTGTGCTGCTCCTCCTCCTCCTCCTCCTCCTCCTCCTCCTCCTGTTTCTCTCTTCGGAATCCCGAGTGTCCGCTTCTTCAGGCCGAGGAGCGACCGGATGAATGGAATCTTGATCTTCTGGAGGCAGGCGGGGCGGCGCGGGCTGCTCGACTTCATCATCACCATCTGATCTTCTGGATGGGGCGGCGCACGCTGCTCGACTTCATCATCATCATCATCACGATGGGGCGGCGCACGCTGCTCGACTTCATCATCATCAGCACGATCTTCTGGATGGGGCGCAAGCTGCTCGACTTCATCATCATCACGATCTTCTGGATGGGGCGGCGTTGGCTGCTCGACTTCATCATCATCACGGTCTGCGGGCTCGAGATCATCATCATCGTCACGGTCGTGCTCGAGCCTCGCCTGCACCTGGCTTGCTGCTCTCGCTTCCTAAGCCTCGCCCCTCAGTTTTCCTCCCATTCCTCCTCCATCGATCCTTTCCCCCAACCATCTTCCCCTCGGATCCGTTCCCTCCGACGTCCGAATCTACACCCCAGGTTCCCCAGGGGCTCGGAACAATCAAGACCTTAGCACTCCTCTCCCCCCTGGCACCTTCGCCAACATAGCCTTCAGGCTCTCCTGCGTGATCTCGTTCTCGTCGTCCCTGTCATTGGGGTACGGAAGCTGCGAGCACGTATCGTCCTGGCCGAAGGTGTGAAGGTTCGAGCCTCCTCCGCTCCGCCTCCTCTTCCGCCCCTTCGTTATCACCTTGCTCCTGCCGTTTACCTCCCCTCCTCCTCCTCCTCCTCCTCCTCCTCCTCCTCGTGGTCACCGTGCTCTTGCTGCTGATACTGGTTCCTCTTCATCCTCCTCCTCCTCCTCCGCCGCTTCCTCCTCCTGTTCATCCTCCTTCTCATCCGTCTCCTCCTCCTCCTCCGTTCTCCGCCCTCGAGGCCGAACTCGCTCTTGGTCGGGATGCCGAGGTCGGAGTGCTCCTCGGCATCTCGATCACCGATTTCAGATGACCCGCGAGAAGAAAGGACGGGCATCTCCCTCATCTCTCCTTTAGCTCCCTCATCTCCCTCATAATACGTCTCACCATCTGTCCTGAGTATCTTGCTTCGACACGCAGTGAACCTCCTCGCGGCGCCAGTGCGCGTGGATCGTCCTGATGGCCATGGCTTGTAATAACCTGAGGACGTAGGGGCGCGCAATACGTTGGAGGAGGATCGTCGAGGAGGAGCAGGATCAGGCAGAAGTAGACCGACCACGAGAAGGGAGACGAGGATAAGGTCGAGGACGAGGAAGAGGATGAGGTCGAGGTGGAGGAGAGGAGGGAAGAGGTGAGGATCCATGAGGATGAGAAGACGGATCAAGAGGGGACGATTAATCAGGGTCTGAGACCTGTGTGCATCTATCACGTTGTTGGAGGGTTTGCGCTTCCTGGGGTCGTCCTGTCGCAACTTCTCGCTGAACGCCTCGCGGTAGATGTGCTGCCACGCAGCCTACTTGCACCAGGAGGGGAATGTCCTACTCCTCCTCCTCCTCCTCCCCATCATCACCCCCTTCTCCTCATCCGCTTCCTCCTCCGTCGCATCATCATCATCATCATCAGCAGCAGCAGCAGCATCATCATCACCGTCGTCATCAGCATCATCAGCAACAGCAACAGCATCATCAGGATCATCAACAACATCAACATCATTGCCAGCATACTCACCATCATCATCATCGTCATCATCATTAGCACTACCATTACCATCCTCAGAGTCGTCATCATCATCACTACCAGCAACATCAGCAGCATCAGCATCAGCATCAGCATCATCATCAACATCAGCAGCGTTATCATCATCAACAGCAACAGCACCATCCTCATCCTCATCCTCCCCACGTCCTCATCCGCACCTGTATTTAGCATCCTGCTCATCCTCCTCTCATCTGTTTCGTCGGTCCTCATCTGTTGTCCTCGTCGTAATCCTATTTCCTCGATCCCCCCGCTGGTGCCTCCACCGTCTCCTGGGAGAAAAGCCTCCCGTCACCAAGGATCTGCAGCTCCTCTGCCAGTGGGTGCCATGCCTGTCCAGGCATCTTCGTCGTCTGCCTCGTTCTCCTCGGTCCGCCTCGCCCCCTCAGGCCCCTCCCCTCCGAGCCCTTTTACATCGAACCAGGGGCCTTAATGTCCCTGCTTCGATCGCCCTCGAGGGGGGCGAGGAGACGAGGCGGACGAGGCAGTAGAGGAGGGCGAGGCCCGACGACGAGGATGCCTGAGAGTCTACTTTGTTCGGCCCGCTCGTCATGTTGGCGCTGTGCGCTGTGTAATCTGGGATATGAGCGTTCGTGAACACTGGCTCGCCGTCGCGTCTCTCCAGCGCCTGACGGCGCCCAGGGCCCCTCCTCCCCCTCCTCCCCCCCCTCCTCCTCCTCCTCCCCCTGCTCCTCCTCCTCTCCCCCCTCAAACTCCGTGTTCTCGTCCTCCTCCTCCTCCTCCTCCTCCTCCTCCTCCTCCCCCTGGTTGCGCCTTCGCCAATTCTATTGCGTCGACCCTTGCGGTGATCTGGCGTCTGAATGCGCTGCGCTTCTCGTCGGGCGCCGATGGAGGCGGTGAAGACGAGGGCGACGAGAACAAAAACAGACATCCGACGTCTCGATTTTTCGAGACGCGGGCCCCAGACCCGACCACTTCCCTAGGACCTCTTTTTTCTCAATCCGAATCGTTTTTGGACGGTCCCGCGGCGAGGGCCCCGAGAGGCCAAAAACTATGAAACACCGTTGTCTCGATTTTTTCGAGACGCCCGATGTCTGGGAAGGATGAGGATGCGGATCGAGGAGGAGGAGGAGGAGCAGGAGGAGGTGGAGGAAGACGCAAGAGGGGTGAGGGAGGACGAGGGAAGAGCAGGGAAGAGAGAATGCAGGAGGAAGAGGGAGGAGAGGAAGGGAAGGAAGCGAGAATGAGGGAGCAGGGCCGAAACAGAGAGGACGCGCGACATGCATGATCATAGGACACGGGAGGAGGAGGAGGAGGAGGAGGAGGACGAAGAGGAGGAGGAGGAGGAGGAGGAGGAGGAGGAGGAGGAGGACGGGGAGGAGGAAGGAAGCAGGAGAAGGAGGAGGGCTGGAGGAGGGCCTCGCAGGGCCCGCCTGCGCCGCTGGCGGGGCTCGCCATGCGCCCGCGTGCACGGCGCTCCTGAGCGCGCGCTCGATCGGCGGCGCTCGAGCCTCGAACCGGCGGCCCCGCGCGCAGTAGACGTCCCCGAGACGCCCGCCCGAGACTGGACCTCTTACGGGCTACCCTTGTGGAGACAAGAAGCCCCTCCCGAGACGCCCGCCCGAGACTGGACCTCTCACGGGCTACCCTCGTGGAGACAAGAAGCCCCCCCCAAGACGCCCCCCCGAGACAGGACCTCTTAGCGGCTACCATTGTGGAGGCAAGACACCCCTCCCGAGACGCCCGCCCGAGACTGGACCTCTTACGGGCGACCCTTGCGGGGGCAAGAAGCCCCGCCCAAGACGCCCACCGAGACGGGACCTCTTAGTGGCTACCATTGTGGAGGCAAGACACCCCTCCCGAGACGCCCGCCCGAGACTGGACCTCTCACGGGCTACCCAAGGCAAGACGCCCCGCCCAAGACCCCCCCCCCCCCCCCGAGACTGGACTCCTGACTGGCTACCCTTGTGGGGGCAAGACACCCTTCCCGAGACGCCCGCCCGAGACTGGACCTCTCACTTGCTACTTTGTGGAGGCAAGACACCCCCCCCGAGACGCCTACCCCGTTAAGAGCCGACGGTCCCGCGCGCAGTTCCAGCCGACCCCCTGGGGATCGACTGTCTCGCGCGCAGCCCCAGCCGACTCCCCGGGAAGCCGACTGCCTGCCGACGGCCCCGCGCGCAGCCCCAGCCGACCCCCTGGGGACCGACGGTCCCGCGCGCAGGTCCAGCCGACTGCGGGCCGACGCTCCCGCGCGCAGTCCGAGCCGACCCCCTTGGGAGCCGACGGTCCCGCGCACGTGCAGGGCATGTACGTGTGCAAACATAGTACAATATGATGCACGACAGCATATGCTATCATATATTAGGTATGATACCATCATTTACTATATTAGAGTAGTCAATTATACTGTTTGTGATGTAGCACGGTGCAATATCATGTAACTCGCTTGTGTGGATCGGCCATGAATTATTTATACATTTATGTACATATATATATATGTATATATAGACGTGTGTGCATTTTGCACATGTGTGCGATATGTGTATTTCATACATATGTAGTTTTGGTTGTGATCTGCGTCACAACGCCCAGCGTTGGAACCGCCGCGGCCGCTCGAGCATTCATAATGTTGCTACGCGCCACCCCGAAAACTCAATGTTGAAAACCAAATATTCCACTTGTATTCTACGCCTCAACATGTGATTCAGCATGGTGAAGCATCGCAGTCTTCTTGCGCAAACACAGGGCTGACACGCGTCACCCCGAAAATGGTACACTCCATTTGTTTCACTTGAACTGTGGGCGTTTTCATATTACGCAAGCACGTGTAACACGTGTCACTGGTGAAAACCAAGCGTGTCACTTGTATCCTGGGCCTCAATATGGTGAAACAGTAATGTGTACTATTTCGCGGGTGGGCGGCCCAAAAACTGAATGGTGAAAAAAAACAAATCGTTGCACTTGTATGTTGCGCCTCCACATACCATTAATCATATCGCGCAACAGTGTAGATGCTGTAGAATTGCACCCGTAGCAATTGCATTGCTTGCCTCAACATGAGGAAATATGTGAAGCGACGAAACAGTATTCATGTGGTTTGTGGCCGTCAACATGAAATGATACGATACTGTACCTTATCAGAACATGTACGCTATCTTCTTTTTAAGATCCAACCGAAAAACCAAGACATCTCAAGTTCTACACCGAAAACCAAGACAATTCAGAAAAACCAAGACAACAGGCCGGCATTTATATATATATATATATATATATATAAACGTCAGGATGTGTGGGCTATCGTCAATATTGCGCTGTCGCCTTGTGCCCAAGTCCTCTCCTTTGAAGCGGACCCAAAGCTTTGCGAATCTGCCGAACTCAGAGATTTCATGTCGGCGGGATCCCGTGGCAGTGCCGAACATCCTGCCGTCACCAATGATGACAACGTTAGTGGTGGCACGCGCGATCGCAACGTTCACCCTGTTGGGATTGCCCATGGAGCCCCAGCCGTGCCACTTGTTGGACCGCGTGGTCAGGTAAATGACAAGGTCGGCCTCGCCCCCTTGACTGGAATCAAGTGTGGAGATGGTGAGCTTGCCGCTCGTCAGGCGGTCGTCGGCGAATTGCCGTAGTCTGGGGAAGCCCAGGGAGATGCCTGCGAGGGGGGGGGGCCCGCTGGTCGAACACGCTGGCGCACGCCCTGGTGTTATGAGCAGACGCGGGGGGATTCGTAGGAGGCCCGCTGCTTTGTGTTGTCTTGTCCTTGCCCTTCCTTTGCCTTTGCCATCCTGGATGGCAGGCAGGAGAGCGCGCGCGAAGTCCACAGTCTGCGCCGCCTCCGGCAGGTTGGCGAACCCTGCGCGGAGTCTTGAGGTGACCTCGAGAGAAGGGGTTGTCGACGAGAAGGAATCTACGCCATTCCTCCTCGCGGTGGCGTCCTGGCATGAGGTCAAGCAGCATGTTCTCGATGTCGTCCTTGGGGGGTGGCCGCGGCCTCGGCTAGTGCGTCAAGCCTGTCGTTGTCCCAGGGCAACAACTTCTGCCATGACAGTCCCGTTATAAGGGGCCTCTGCATGAAGGGGTCGGTAAGCCCTGAACGCGTAGTGTTGTTGTAGAAAGCGACATTCGGCCACGCCAGCAACAGGGGGTGCATGCGGTAGCACCGACTAAGCTGCGCCACGGCTGTTGTTTGGTCTCCCAGGGCGTTCTGAAGCCGATCGAAGATGGAGAGGCAGAGCCCGAGGTCGGCTGCCTTCCTGGAGAGGACAGCGGGGGGGAGCTGCTTAGGGTCACCTACCAGCACAAGGTGCCCGCCTGAACGAATGGCGCTGTCGAGGGACATTGCAGCCATCAGCTCATGAGCTTGCCCAGCTTTGTCAATAATGAGGAGAGCGACCGGCGCGGCGTTCCTGAGAACCCCCGCTGACTCGTGCGTTGCAAAGATCGTCTTGGCGGCCTTGAGGAGCTCAGTACGGAATGCTGGGAACTCCTTAGGTGATCCACCTTCATACGGGAGCCTGCCGCGTGCCCTGAGGAAGTGGCCTTCCGGCGTGAGCGTTGTTAGATCCTTCGCAACCCTGAAGTCTCGGGCCAGGCGGACGCATCTGTTTGGGAAGCCGGCGTTGTGCCCTAGCTTGCTCGTCTGAAAAGCGCTGCTGAGGCCAAGAGCTGGCTGGTCAGCAGCTGCGTTGGAACGTGCTGTCAGTGCCACTGCCTGGCCTTCTGGGAGGGCGTCCGCCCACGCGTCCATGGCGGCAACTGAATTGACTGTCTTGCCAGTCCCTGGCGGTCCGTGCACGACTGTTACATGGTGTCGTGCGGTGGCGGCAAGGGCTCTCGCGGCATCGTCATTGAGGTTGTGGCGCTTGGCCCCTTCCTCCAAAACATTATCTGCTGGCAATTCCCTAGTCCGCTGGAAGACCCGACCAATAGCATCGTCCACTTCTTGGTCGGAAAAGGGTGTAGCAAGGCAAGCCCCATCCAGGGAGGGTGGGGCTGCCGCGCTGCTGTCTGCGCCTGTGGGCGCCGTGCCTGGGGTGAGATCACCTATGGTGGCCCTGGCACGCAAGAGTAGGTCCTGCCCACAGCGCCTGGTGCTCTCCACACTGTTGGCCCGCGTCTTCTCGTCTTTCTCCACTGTGCGATAGGTGAGAAGGAACGTGATAGTTCAAAGAGGAGTACCGACAAAGTCTGCGGGGGGCTGCTGAAGCGTGTAGATCTCGGAAATGGCGGTAGATATTATACGGCATTGTAATTGATGGGGTGCCTTGTCCAGCCTGTACCAGGGCATCCCAGCCTGGGGAGGGCTTGGGATTGTGGTGCCCCCGTGGAACGTCCCGAATTTAGCCTTGTCGTATGCCGCAATGCACTCGTTGGTGGGGTACTTGGTTCCCCATCTGATCCTTAGCGCGTCGCACTCGTTTGCAGGGGCCGCGCCTCCAAACTCTGGTGACCACAGGAGTGTGAGCGAGGCCACTTGGTCTGTTGACGGACTGGTGAGGCTGGGGAGTAGCGCGCGGGCCTCCTGGCCTCTCGCGTGTTCCCTGGGAGGAATCTTGAATTCTTGCGGCCATTGCAGATGAAAAAGCATGTGCCCTCTGATGCGGGGAAAGCGTTCCGCAAACTGAACCGATCGAGGAGGTCGCAGGGGGACTGCTCGACGATGGGTGTTACTGCCGCGCACGGCGCACCGCTCTGCCTTCTTAACAAGTCTGTTTTGGCCTTGACGGAACCATCCCACGCGGTTTCGGTGGCAGCCATGCACTCTGCCCAGGCTAACCTGTTGAGGGTGCGTCCTCTTTGCCGTATATCCTGCTCCAAATGTGTGGGGAGATTAACGCTTGGCGGGACCGCGCCGGTTGGGGTATGTAGGTGGTGCTGGGCTGCTGGGCTGCTAGTGGGGGCTGCAAAAAGCCGGGCGATGGCATCCGCTGCTGCCGCTGCCGACGACTCGAGCACGACCTTCCTACTCCACAAGGGAGGGGCGTCATGCCAGCTGCGGCGACTTATTTCTTCGTGGTAACTGGGCCTGGACCATTCGGCTGACTCCTGTGAGGAGGCCCTGCTTGAAGCAGAGCAGCGCTCCTTCCCTCCCACGGGTTCCTCAAGGCAGGAGGCGCTGCAAGCGACGCTGAGCACGCGCCAGGGAGGGGTGGTGGCGGCGGCGGCGCATCTCCCCGGGCACTGCGCTCATCCCGATGAACATTCCCCCGCGATGCCCTGTGCTGTTGTGGCGGGCGGATGTCCATCGAAGGTACGGTATCGGGGTGGGTGGTGAAGTCGTGGAACTCGTTGCGGAACGGAAAAGGGACTGGAACGTAGTCCCAGTCGTCCGGGAAGAACCAACCTGGGAGGCGTGGGAGAATGTCTTCCCTCGCTGGCTCCGGCAGCGTCGCGCCGGGCCACTGCGGTCTGCTGAAGTACTCCTTCGAAACCTCATCGTAGTCCTTGCCGCCAGTTCTGGTCCAGAGATTGCCGGGCGCGTTGAACTTCTCGGTTCTGCCCAGCCTGTGTTTTGCTGCTTCTCAGCCTCCTTTGCGTGGGGCCAGCCAAGGAGGTGCTCCTTTCCATCGCAGTGCTTCTGGCACACCTCACACCATCAGCACCACTCCATGGTTGAAGAAAGCCCAGCGAAGCCAGGGGCACTCACGCGAACGAAAAGGTCTCAGGCCGTCGACCTTGACTGGTCCTTCAGCACGGTGTACTGCAGGGGAAAGCCACATGGCCAGTGGTCCATTATTGTTCTTCTTTGTCATCTTGCAGATGGGGGCGCAGCCGAAAGCCGCAAAGAATGGTGACTAGTGTGGGGGGGGGGGGGGGGGGCTGCAGGGACCTCAGTTAGTCCGCGGATCGATCGATCGGCGACCGATACTGGGGAGAAGCAAGGCCGAGGGGGAGGAGGGAGCATTTCCCAGCTGATACGCAGCAGCGGCACACTCAGACGGGTCACAAATATTGACCTCCCATTCGTCTTGAAATGGAAAGTGAGCGGGATGGGAGCGGGCGTCGCTTGCCCATTGTATGTGGGCTTGGACCGTGCTCACGCCTTCCTTGCAGAGGGTGTCTGCCCAGTAGACCCCGGTGGTGGCGAGACTGTCGGCCGCCTTGTTCAGTCTCCTTCTGACTGCTTGCCAGGTGAGTACCCAGCCTGCGCTCTGGGCTTGCCCTAGGGCGTCCTCCATCTGCCTGGCGAGGTGTAGGCTTCGGTATCTGGCAGTGCCCGCCCCGTAGCGAACAGCTGCTAGGTTGTCACCAACCACCCTGGCGGCCCGGACGGGGTCCCTAAAGTGGGGGAGCACGGCCAAGCCGGCTCGGCAGCCTGCTACTTCGGCCGTCTGCGCGCTGCTGCAGTCGGGGAGCGCAGCAATTGCAACCGCCAAAACTCGGGGAGACCCCGTGGCAGGGTCGCGATGCCACAGGATGGCGCCCGCGCCTGAGACCTTGGTGGCTCCCTCAATGCTCCTTGCCCCGCCGTCAAAGGTAACCTCGTAGGGCCATTGGGTGCTGTCGGAGTCAGGGAGAGGCGAGTTACGGACTGTGACTTCATCGCCAGGTGCAAGGATGGAGTTTGCAGTCAGAGCGTTGGTGCGAGCTCGGCATTCCCGGCAGAAAACGGAGGTCCAGCTGGCAGTGGGAGTGTCATCGGTCCTGGGGCAGGGAAACCATCCTTGCCCTGGGGGCATCCATGCTGCCCGGGACTGCGGCGCCTGGAGCACGGCGAGTCTGCTACCAGGGTGATGGTTTCTGGTGACTACCGGGAGCCTGCGAACCTCTCCCCCGGCCCTAGGTGCGTGTCGCTGCATGTGGGGCCTGGCAGCACCACAGACTGATCTTTCACGAATGGCTCCCGGATTGCAGGTGCTGCAGGTGTGTCGCATGACTGACCAGACTGAGGTCTCGTCTGGGTTGTCAACTCTGGGATGCTCGTCAGCCTCTTGCGCCTCGTCGCCGCCGTCTGCCTGTTGATCAAGGTCCGCGGCAACAATGCCTTGCAGGATGAGTCTGGCGGAGTCAGTGGCCTCAAGGGGAGTGGCACTGAGGTTGGCGCAGTATCTGAAGGAGACCTGGTGGAGCAGCTTCACGAGCATTGGCTGGTGTTCTCCGATGCTGGTGATGGCTTGCGCAAGGGTGAGGGGGTCGTCCGGACCTCTGACGGTGCACCAGGCAAGCGCAGCGGCTGGTGGGGATACCTTTTTAAAAACAGCCGCAGGCGGAAGCGCCAGAGGCGGAAGGTCGCGAACGGGCCGCGGACGCGACTAAATAACCTGGCGCGCGCGGGGCCGCGGATCAGGCGGCTCACGACAGCGTCCAGGGAAGAGGATGCAATCCAGGTGCCATGACAGCCCCTGAACGGGCATGCAGGTGCGCCCAACAGGCCTGAGGTAGGCACCGAGACCACCAAGCGCAGCCATAATGGCGCGAGAACGTTCCAACGTCCAAGAGCGGACAAGGGAACGACCGAGGACGCCAGCCCCAGCCTGTCGGGTAACACAGAGGTCGGGGTGATAAGTCCAACGAGGATCCATGCGGCGGCAGCGAGCCGCGGCGTCAGCGACATCAAGGTGTATCCATGATCCGAGAAGACAACCACACCAAGACGTATCGGCCCAGACCCAACGGGTGGAAGGGCACCGGATGCACGCTCCCGTCGAAACGCGGCGCGTGCACAGCACAGTGTCACAGTGCAGTCCAATGAGACGGAGAGCACAGGCGGAACGAGACAGTGTATACCCAGGAAAGTCCCACAAAGCCACTGATCCAAGGTCGCGGTAGGAAGCCGTCCAGCAATGACGTCCAGAGGGCACCGATCCATGGAGCCTGCAGGGTACCACAGGCTGACTGGGGACAAGTACCAACTGAAAAGCAGACGGCGAGCCAGTCGCAACGCAAGAAGCGCATCCAGGGTGTGGAGAGTGATGGCTAGACAGAACATGCGCACCTGAGATGCGACAGCCCAGATCCGACGATCGGAAGGTAAGGAAGGGCACGGTGCACGGCAGACCCCTAGGAGTGTGCACATCAAAGGTGGCCCAGCGATACCCAACCGAGTCGTCTAGCCCAGAGGGGCGAGGACGTCTTGTACCCGAGACGTGTCCCACAGAGCCAACGGATCCAGGGTGACGGCGGAAAGCCGTCCTTCTTGTTTGAAAGGTCCAGGGTGACGGCGGAAGGCCGATCGTTCGGTTAGAAAGTCCAGGGCGGAGCCAGTGGTCAGGCGGCAGTGGCCCACTGACAGGCCAGGAAGGCCAGGCGGTGAGACAGCTACAGTAGGGCCTGAGGCCGCGAGTCCGCCGCGGAGAGGCGGTGGACGGCATTGCCGAAGCGCGCACCTGGACCCAAAGGCAGGAGGTGCGCGCATCGGGCGGAGGGCGGCAGAGCGCGGCGATTAGGGGCCAGCGGCGCGGCCTGGGCAGCGCCCGCTGGGATTCAGGAAGCGAAACATGGCGGGGAGAGAGGAGCCGAGTGACAAGAGGGCGTCGGCCACCGGTGGAGAAAGGCAGCGATGCCAACGGCACGTGGTTTGCAGGATGCGTGGTGTCACGCACGGAGCAGACGGCATTACCGAACGGCACCCCAAGGCCACGGGCGAGAGAGGGTGCCGCTCAGGGGAGGGGGGGCAGGGCCGCCCCAGGTTGAGGGAAAGGGCGGCAGAGGGCCGCGATGGCGCGTTGCGAAGCGCAGGCAGTGGGGCGGGCACTGGGGGGCGGCGAGGGCAGAGAGGTAGTTCAGTCTTTCCAGCGGAGTCTCTTTTCATCTCGATCATCCCGATCACCAGGGTAACCTCCGCCGCGCTCGCCACCCGCCTGCCAATGATCCTCGCGCCATCCGTCGCGCCACTCGCCCTGCCAACTGCTCCAGGTGCCCCAGGAACTTGTCGCACGGTCGCGCCAGTCCGTGTGGCGATAGCCGCCTTTGCTCCAGTCGTCTGTCTGGGAGTGCCGCAGGTAGTTGGCTCGTATCTTGTTCCAGTCGATACCATAGCCCAGTCTCCTGTCCATCTCGTAGGCGTCGTACCCGCAGTCCTTCCAGGCCTCTAGGAAGTTGCTGATATCCGCGGGCATGCGTAGTTTCGGGTCGGACTTGGGCGCCCTCCATCCAGGGGGCAGGGTACGCTGCGTGTTCGCTGTCCACAGTGCGCAAAAGACTGCTCCCAGCTGCGACTCAAGCCTGGATATGCAACTGGCTGGTGTCTCGTCGGGGCGCTCGAGTTCGACGGTGCCCGGCCTGATTTTGTACATTGGGCCGCCTCCATCAGGGCAGGACAGCATGTTGAGTGCGTCCTGCTCCGAAGAGCCAGTGTGGCGAGAGTAGTGGGGCCTCCGCTCAGGGGGCGTCGGGGTGGGCGCGGGAAGGCGCTCGTGCCGCGAGGTGCCACCGTCGCTGGTCCTCTCGTGCCTCGCGGGGCTTCGAGCTAGAGCCCTCCCGCGATCGGCGTAGGGCGTGCCCTCTGCGACTGAAGTCGCGATATCCTCGCGGCTGGTGTCGGAGCTGCCCGCCGACGGGCTACGCTGCGGGCCATCTCCGCCTGAGCGATTCTCATCGCCCTCCTGGGCCGACTCGGAAGGCGTGGGAGGGCGGGCGGGTCCATCCTCTTCGTAGTCGGGCTCCATCTTGTGAAGGGGGAGCCCGCCTTCCGCGCCTTCGCCGCTGTCGTCGTCGGGCGGGTCATGGTGGCCCATGCGTGAGTCGTCCGCTGAACCCTGAGACCTGTCTGCGTCGGCCGCCATGGGAGTATCTGGCCTGTCGTCACCACCAGAACACGCGCCAGATGGCAGGGACCCTGCCAGGGAGGTGATCTCTGGCGCCGCGCCAGAGCTGCCTGCGGGGCTGGGTCCAGGGGGATTGCTTGCTCCGACCTTGGTGAATGGGTCCTGGGCTTTGGCGTCCTCGCCAAGCCACGGGAGGGAATGCACGATGTCCACAGGTGCCTCGAACCCAATCTGGCTGCTGAGCGGGGGAAGGGCCGGAGGTTCATCTGGATACAGCGGCCTGAAGTCGCGATCCAGGATGCGGTCCAGGGTGGCCGGGCCAATGTCCCAAATCGGGACCAGGCAGCGCCGGCAGCACCAAGTAGCGTTCCATTGGCGCCCCCACCAGGCCAGGGCACGCTTATCGATGGGGGGCAGTCCATGTTGCTCGGGAGCTCCTATGTCTTCAGCCGGCTTCCATATGAAGCACCCCAGCGGCGGAGAGCCGGGGTCCCAGACCAGGAGCGGGGCCCCCTGGGGGCAGGTGTCGCACCGCGCGGAGTAGGTCCGCGTTTGAGCGGCTTTGATGCCGAATCGGTCGTCCCGGATCCGGTGGACCGGAATGGTGGTATTGGCACACTCGGGGATCTTCATGCCCGTCGGTTCCATGAGGAGGTCATCGAACTGCCTCGTGTCCGCCAGGGGGCTGCAGCCGTAGCCGAGCGAAGGAGTCCCAGGGAAGGGAGGACACTCGCTCTGTCGTTGCAGGTCCCCGATATCTGCTGCTCATGTTCCCTGATTCTGTCGGTGAGCTTCGTTCCGGCAGGCGTAGGGAAGCCATTGTCCTCGAGGTGCCGTATCCAGCAGCCAGCGCAGTACCAGCCCATGTTGGCGCCTTTGATGTACCCCTGAAGTCTATTCTGAGCGACCATCTGGCGCGTGCTGTCGGAGATCCAGGTACCTTCAGCGGCAGTCAGGTAGTCCTTCCCGCAACTGTCGCACGTGTATATGTTGTTCTTCTTTTCGAGCGCGAGCCTTTCGTCGGGGATGAACGGAGGGTCCAGACTGGTGCCCGGGGCCGGTGCCGGTGGTGGAGGGGCATTGAGGTCGGTCTGGGACAAGGCAAGTCCGCCGCCGATGTAGGAAAGGCCCGCAACCTTGTCGTCGGGACCGAGGGAGGCGTCGGAACCAGCCAGTGCGACGTGTAGTGCACACACTGAACAATCGCCTGTGTCCAGGCAGGTCAGAGCTGCTGCCGGGACGATCCGCTCGAGAACGATCATCGGGGTTCGCAGCTGGAAGTCCTGTCTGTCCATCTCGCTCCAGGTCTGCGGGCAGCCGGCTTCCTGCGCAGCCGGGTGGTGATGGGCCAAAGCCACGAGCTTGGAGATGTGTGGTAGGACTGCCTCGATGCGACTGTGCAGGTCGGCCAAGTCTTCCAGGGTGAGGCCCCAGGTGCTGGCGAACCTTTTTTCGGAAGTCCTGGTGGACCTCTTGCCAGGGTACGCCGAACCCCAGAATGGCTTCGATGACGTCCCCGGCCTGCTCCGCGTGAGAGAAAGGCCATAGAAACACTCGCGGCTCACGGAGCATCAGCATCATGACCACCAGAAGCGAGCGGGCCTTGCAGGAATCCATGGGCTGGCCGTCAGTGTCTACGAGTCCCTGACGGAAATCTTCCATCGAGGAGCCGCACCCCCTGATGATGTCTCCCAACCCGGTCATTCCAGGGTGCTTCCGGTGTCTGCAGCAGTCCTTGGTAGCGGAGCTCCAGCTCGAAGCTGGTGGGGATACGCGAAGCGTCTAGAATTCGCGACCTCGCTTGCTCCCATGTGCTGTTAGCTTTTCGCTTTCGCGTCGCCCACATCAGATATTATACGGCGATCTCGTCTCAGCATTGGCCAGATCTTGAGCGCGAACTGGAAATCGCGCTTCATCACCATTGATTATTGGTCCCTCGCTGAAGGGTCGTGCCCTCGTGCCGCAGAGGTTCCCGCGACAGGCGTGCTGCATCTCCAAATCGTGAGGGGGGATGGCAGGGAATGACCGACTCAGCGATCTGGACTCGGCGATACATCACCGATAGATCGGCGATATGCCTCCGATTGCGGAAGCGCGCCTTCCTGGGCGGGGTGGGCCACCAGGCACCCATCGCCGATGACTGGGCCTTTGGGGGTCGATGCGCCCCCCTGAGCCTAACCCCCCCCCCCTATCGTTGCCACTGATCCTGGCCCGGTGGCCTGGCGCTCTCTCCTCGGCGCCGGGCGACGGCCGCCAGAGGGCCATGCGGCCGCACATGGATCCCGGGCGCGTGCCTTGGAGCCCGGGGTGGCTCTCGTACGAGTGCGAGGCGTTTTTTCTTTCCGGAGCCATCGTGGGGAACCGACGTCCTGGGGCCCCAGGGGGCGGTGGATGTCGATGTACTGGGGGCCCCTAGGCCCTAGGCCCTAGGCCCGAGGGCACGAGTGTCTCCGCCGCCTGCAGAGGCCCCTGAAGATCGAACCCGCAGACGGTCATGGAGAAATCCCCGCCTCGGACTGAGCGGCCACGCTCCCGACCCAGCGGCGGTGCTCCTCTGAGCCCCTGCGGTGGCCAGGAGCCGTGCTGCGGCTGGACCCAGCACTCCGACGTCGTGGTCTGTCGTTCACGGCGTGGTCCCCCAGAGAACTGGACCGCTTCCCCAGGGCCGGAGTCTTGTTGGCTGTGGTCCCCAGTCCCAGGGGCCAGCGACGGCACTCCTCCCGCCGTGATCTTTCCACAGCGCGAGGAGGCCTGGGCAGGGCGGCTTCGATGCTCGAGGACCCCCTCGTGCTCTCGGTGGCCCTGGCCTGCGCGCGCCCTCGGCGGCTCTCGCCTGCTCGCGCGAAAGCCGCGCTCCCTCAACTCATCGGCGCCACCGCCCTGCCTCGGCTGCAGGGGACGCGCTGAAAGAAGACGAGGATGCCATGAACTCTGGGAAATTCCACGGCCCCCTGGTCCTCAAACCCACTCCAAGACGCCTGGACGATCTGGGGGGCACCACTGGAAACCTCTCGACGAGGCGCAGCTGCTGAAAAACATCACGAGGCGAGAGACCCCCCAAACCAACCAGCACTTCCTCCAAGAACCCCCTCTTGGAAGCCCCCGAAGTCGGAGCAGGGCTGGTTGAGACAACGGCAACTGAACATCGGTCCCTGGACCCCTCTCGGGCTCTAAATGCACCAAGTGTCCGAGCTGCGTCCAGCCGTGGCAACGAAGCCCCCCCCCCCCCAAAGGACAACTACCGTTGCCTGAAACCGCCCGCATGTGACGAACCTCGCACGCCTCAGGAGAGGACGATGACGGCACACCCCGCCACGGCCGGTGCCGCTCTTCTTTTGCGCTCGTTCTCAAGCCCTCTGTTGGCGCCCCTCCTGCACCTGCTGGTGACCAGCCGGCCGCAGGATCTGCAGGTATGGTCGCGGCAGGCCTGCAAACTCAAATCTGCTGGAAAGGCAAGAAGGGGGAGAGGGAGATTCTGCTGCGGGGATGGACTTTGGCACTTACACCAACGCAAGAGGTTGGCTCCTACGAGGGAACAACAATATGGAATCTGGGTGCTGGTTTTAGTCTCTCGGCCACAAACGACGTCAGAATATTACTACCAGCACAGAGATCGGGATCATCTTCGCTGGGTGGAGGCACCCGCATATACCGGTGTTGGTGTCAACCTCTACGCCTGCGCATCTAGAAATCCTGCCATCAAGCAGTGACACATTGTAACCTGCAGTACACAAATGCGAAGACCTGGGCAGTCCAACGCGTCGGCAAAGGTGCAGTCAAATTTGTTTGTCAGGGTACGCGATAAGGACGGAAGGGCCTTGGACGCCAACGCCGAAGCTTCCCGAGCGGGGCTGGCAATAGAAAGTGGTTGAGGATGGACCGAGGATAACCGACGAGGCAAGGATGCACAGGTACTCTTGGGAAGTCACTCATCCTTACTATGAATTCTGACTATGAGCACGAGCATACACAGGAACACGCACTCCACGAACTGCCACTGCTGGAAAGTCTCAGCCCAACGCCGAGAAAGGCAACCATCACCGAGTATTGGACAATGTTGTAAGACACGGCCCCGCAGAAAAGGAGCTGGTGGGACAGGGGGAGAGGGTGGAGGGGGGAGCAGAAAGAGAGAGCGAGAGAGAGAGAGAGAAGATAGAGAGGAGAAGAGAGGAGGTAAATGGAGGGGCAGAGGGGCAAGCAAGGGCAAGGGGTTATCGTGAAGCTGATGGGATCCCGTAAATGTTCCCCCCCAAGACCTCTGAAGAAAGATGGGCTCACCGCTTTCACGACAGGACCCCCCGACAACCCCCCACAAAGAGAATGGCAAGAGGGGCAAGGCGTCCATGGAAAGCATCCACTCCAGCATATATCCTGACGCCCACTGGAAGGCCTGCCCATTGCATATTTCTTTTCACCTGTGCGCTTCTTCTCTCCACAGAATTAGAGAAGCGAATCTGCTGGATTCCTGAGTCTAAGGTGTGATGGCGACACTGGGGCATTGCAAAAAAGACGACGAAGGGACCATGCAAAGCCAAGGATCCGAAGACTCCCCATTCCATACGATCACTGCGGCCCTCGTTCCATATCACTGCGGCTCAATTCTACAAGATAGCACATCCGCGAACACATACGCATTCGTAAGATCGTCCGCGCGCAAGTGAAGATGTATACGCATGCGTAGCCACATAATCCAACTACATGTCAGAGTCCATCGCAATCCGTCCCATGACTCCGGAACATGGTTGAAGACCACGCCATATCCCAGACTGTTGGTTGGACAATATTGTTCGCAAGTTGTACACTTTTCCTTGGTACCGAACTATATGATCGCACACCCAAGCACCCCAGGCCTCATACTGTTGTGTCAAACGGCAATGCGAAGCACACACACACACATCTGCATGGGATGTCACACTGTCAACGAAAATACACCGGCGCAGGACTTCCATGACGAAGGACCCAATCATCTGCAGCTGCGAGTAACGCAACTTAGGGGATGCGAAAGAGAGGGTCGAACAAACTACAAGTGGCGTGCGATATAGCGCGCCACAACATGGATGCAACTCGAACCATCAAGGCGATGCTTCTGGGGCCATCGGTGGAGCTCCCAACTGGTCCACGAAGCGTGTCAGCGGTGTGCAGAAATGGACTCGAGACCGCATGCGGGCGGTGCCACTGAGGCCCTCGGTGGAGCTCCCTACTGGGACAACGAAGCGTGTGGGGGGTTCGCGGGGACGTCATGCGGGCACTGACACTGGGGCCTTCGGTGGAGCCCCTTACGGGGCCACGAAACAAGCGAAACAGGTGGAGCTCCCGGTGGGCCCGAATCGGTGGAGATCTTCGTGGGACCACGAAACAAATGAGGCGTGTGCCAGGACGGACCCCGGCCCGCATGCGGGCGATGCCATTGGGGCCTTCGGTGGAGCTCCCGATGGGGTCATGGAGCGTCGAAGAATGCGCCGAAATGGGGGGGAGGCCGCATGTGGACGCACCGCTTGGGCCTTCACTGGTGCTCCCTATGGGGCCACGAAACATGTGAAGAGTGCGCCGAAATCGGCATGTGGAGGACGAAGGCATGAGGTAGGAGGGGAAGAGGTGAGGAGACGCGGGGTGATGCTTATTCAAAATGAAGACCCAACGCCACAAGAACGTTGGGAACAACACCATCGGAACGCGCAACACCAATAAAGAACATTACATCATGGCATCGAGCCGCAGTACATCCCGTTCGTGGACCTACGCTTCACTGTGTAGCCTTGCAGTGACCCGAGCCAGTTTGCGTTACACTGTCTGTAATAATATGCCGACCGCTGAGGTGCGTGCGACTCAATTGTGTAACAATATCTGGCGACCTCCATCACGGCAATCCTCCCTTGCCAGACAACGTGGCACCGTGGCAATGCTCCTGCGGAGTGCGCCCCGATCCGACCCTCACCCCCCACCACGTCCCGCTGCGTATGCATGAGGGCCTAAAATGCGTTCCTGGCCACGGCGTAACGAGGCAACGACTCGGTTCCCCGACCTGGATCTATGGAACGGCCGGACAAGCAGAGCCCCTCCTGACCTCAGAGTGGTCCTTATTTCAACGGATTGACTGTCGGCCCCGAAAAGGTCTCAAGTAGCCTGCACCCCAAGAGTCCGCGGTGCCCCTGACCATGTTTCCATCGCGCCTAGCACCCGCAACACAAGCATGGGGGAGTGATGGGCCAGCGGGCCCTAGATACACCAGGCTGCGCTGCGCTGCACTGCACAACGCTGCGCTACGTTGCACTGCGAGCTGCGTTGGTTGTACCGAGCTGCCCTGCGACGCACTGCGTCTCGCTTTCCTGTCCCTGCAATGAACTGAACCGTGACATACACGCCGCACCACATCGCGCTGCCCCTGTGCTTTAATCTGTCGTCGACGCGCCCAGGGGTGAAGGCAGAGGGGGCGGGCCTTCTCGGAAGGCTCAGAAAGCCTCTGGCCTTCTGCGAAGCCTTTTCCGGAGCCAGGCAGGGCTTCTCAGAAGGCCAAAAGATTTCTGAGAAACCCGCAGCCGTCTGAGAAGGCCTGTCCCCTTCGCACTTCCCTGAGATCAGGCGTGGCTACAAAATTGCAACATAGCGAAAAATCATGACCGAAAACGCAATCCCAATCTGACTCCAAAAACTTTGGAGCCGGATCGATCCGGGAGTTCGCCAACTGTGAAAACAACTGCGATGCCAGGATCTCACTTCCCCCCTCGGGGGGGAGAGAAAAAAATACCGTTACCGCCCCCAGACCCATCCCGGGGCGCATTCTGACAAGAATTCCGAGGCGACTCCAGCGGTGGAGACGAGGGCTTCCTTTGGGGCAAGGGCATCGGCATGGGCACCAGCTCCTCTCCTGACCCTCGGCGCGTCGAGATCCGCTTGCCTGATGTGCCTGTTCTCAACCACCACCACCATAAGTTGGAGAGAGAAAGGAGGTCGAGGACAAGGACGAGGAGGAAGAGGAGGAGGGGGAGGAGGAGAAGGAGGAGGAGGAGGAGGAGTACCACCTCCCCCTCCAACTTATGGTGGTGGTGGTGGTGGAAAACAGGCCCATCACTTGCCCACGTACCATTTCGCGGCACGGTGCTGCAACGCCCCGCTGTGGGCGTGCGCTTTGGCGCCCCGCTGCAGGCGTGCGCGCGCGGGAGCGCACGCTGGCCGGGGTCGACGGCCACGCGTTTCACGCTGACCCCGTGCCAAGCCTGTCCCGCGCCCGATCCCGCCTCAAGAAGCCCTCTGGGCCTGACAATCGCCCTGCTTCTGAATCTGAGGCTGGCAGGGTGAACGCGGTGGAGAAACCAGAAAAATACCGAGGCCGCTGCTCCCTGGAGCTCCAAGGTGCGTTTTGACCCGGCTCTCGAGGCAAGTCCGGCCGTGGCGGCGAGGGCCAGCACAGCGAAAACGAGGGGAAGGGCAGCGGTATCGATACCTGCCCCCTCTCCGACGGAGTGCCGTGGCGTTTTCGGCACGCGTGGGGCGGCGGGGGCCGTACCCCGCGTGCCCCGATGCCCGTGCTCCCGGTGATGGTCAAGGCCCCGTGGCGCCTGCTGCTCGCCCTCGATCGCCAAGACGACCAGGTTGAAGCCCACGGCTGCCAAGAACCAAATGCCGATGGCGGCCATGTGCCAGTTGAACGTGCTCGGGAAACGACTCCCCCCCGCTGGTCGTTCAGACTTCTGACAGGGACAGAGAGCATCAATGGCACGCCGTTGTTGAGGGGTCGTCAGCGCGCTGCTGCTTTGTTCTTGCACGAAGGCCTGGTGTCTTCAAGATTACCACCCTGATGGGTTCCCCATGACGGCGTGAATTTGGCATTGTTCTTGCTCCACAAAGGACTCCGAATTTGTCCGAGAAAACTCCAAATCACTTTTCTCATAAAAGGGCTGTTCAAACATTGTGCGGCGCTACCTTCTTTTACGGTTTTCGAAGGGGGGGGCGGGTTGGGAACCCCCAGTGACCCCCCCCCGTTTTCCGCCAGCAACGATAGAACACGCTCTTTCTTGTGAGCAACACTGTTTCTAAATAGGGTTTTCCGGGGGGGGGCAAGAGACAAATCTTGTTTGAAGTATAGGGCCCCAGAACACCTGAAAAGCCAGAGTCCCTGAGTATGTTTTCCCCCCCGGGAGGTTTCGTTCCTGGAGACCGGGGGGGGGGGGGAGCTTGGGGCGTTCGGGGGATTTGCGTGGCCCGATAGGTTAAAACAAAATTGTCTCGTCAAACAAATCCGAAAACCTCAGACAATAACGCAAGACAACTACATTATAAAACATACGTGGAAATTGTTTGTTGTTGTTCGATTGTTTCCGGGAGGGTTCCGGAAATCCGCCGATCCGGCGTGTGAGCTTATGAGAGCGCGGGCTTGAGCTTGCTCAAGCTTCGCTCTGGTGGGGGGGGGGTCGGGATGGGGCGAATTATCCACGCAATTCAATGAACGCTCCAGCGCGGGGGGGGGTCCAAGAATCGAGGGGGGGGGGAGCTCGAGCGAGGACGGGTGGGGGTCGAGCTCAAGCGGGGGGAGGGTCCAGCTCAAGCGGGGGGGGGGGTCAGCGCGGGGAGGGGGGTCCAAGAATCAAGCGGGGGGGGGGTCCAAGGAGGAAGCTCGAGCGGCCCGGAGGGGGGGTCGAGTCCTCGCACCCCCGCATGTTAGGTGTGATTGAGGAGTTGCGCAGTCGCATGCTGGCCGCACTGCATAAACTAGCAACAAACCCCACAATGTCCCCAAGCGGCCTTGAGCTCGCCGACGGCGCCGTGTCCCCACCCGCTCTTTCACGAAAGCAAGAGAGGCGGAGACGATGGTTGAGGCAACGCATCGGATCAGCATGAGAGAACTGCCCAGGACACGAGGGGGGAGGGAATGGGCACGCCAGAAGGCCAAACCCCCCAGAGGGCCACCGAAAGGGCGACGCCATGATCCACAAGCGGGCACGTGTCCAACAGGGTCCCTCGACATGCAGGAAGCCTAAGGAGGGCCGCAACTTCGGGGGGCATTCCCGCGACAGGGGCAGCAGGGTCGACAGATGGTGACACGGGGAGGATCCAACATGCAGGAACAGCCTGGGCCACGCATCGCACTCAAAGTTCAGTGCACGATCGCAGCCAAATGTTCTCTCTCGCCGTCCACCCCCTCACACGGTCGCTGGTCTGAATACACCCCCACGGGGACACGGTGGTTCGAACCGGAGTGAGGCCCTCGGGGAGCGCAGCCATGGGGTGTGAGGCTTGCACAAAACTCGTTAAAGTGTACTCAATATACAGGCTCGCAACCTTCCCCTGCTCAGTGAGTCTACATACCGTAGCTAACGTGCATGGGGAGAGTAGGGCCGTGGAGTCGGTCGTCGCACACTCGGGAACAATGGGCCACACACGGTCTTCTCGCCATAATGGTTGCTCCGCAAACACTCGCATGGCATTATTTCTGTGACTCCCTCTGTAAACCACAAACACAGCGTACGAGCATGGCAGAGGCGGGACGGGAGGCAGGATTGGCCCAGTCTGCACAGGAGCATCCAGAGGCGCAACAATGGCGGCAAGCAGAGCTATCTTTGGCTGCTGAGGGATACGGACCAGGGGGCGGAAAGCAGGCCACGCACTCTTCACCGCGGGAACATGAGCAAAGCATTCCGAACGTCCCTTGGATCGGTTCACACGTTTTACTTCCCGCCTATCCGACAGGCATTCCGCCAGTTCATCCTCGGAAGGTCGCAGCGGGGAATTAAGCCAACACATACGGCAGCTGGCAGCACTCTGAATGTCCTCCTCCTCCTCCTCCTCCTCCTCCTCCTCCTCATCCTCCTCCCCCTCCCCCCCCTCCCCCTCCTCTCTCATTCGGGGAAATATGATATGACGTTGCTCAAAACCCGTTCGGGGGGGGACAAAAAGCATTGGCAGCATGGTGGAGCCCCTCCCCGATGAGGTAACCGCGGCAGGTCAACATTTGTCGAAGAGCACCCCAAGAGGACCCCATAGAGCCAACACTGCGCCAAGTCGATCTGTTCAACCTACCTTTTGGCAACTTATACAACGAATGTTCCCGCCCTCCCCGCACCCCCGAAAAGGCATCCACGGCGGCTGTCGCACTGTATGCTTCTACGCTGCACTCATCAAGGCAACTCACCTAGCGATCGTGTCTGATGGGGATGCGCGAAGCGTCAATATTGCAAACCGATAACGCGGATCCGAACTCTACGAGGCACGGCGCCACAATCAATTGCGAGGACTTACCACGCGAGAGCGCAACTTCTCCGAAACTTATGGGGAACGTCCCGCGCGAGAGCGCGAATGTGAAATCACTGTGAAGAAATATTCGGCGGGAGTCGTTGTTGCTATTGTTGTAAATCGGGAATCAAGGGCCCAATTTAAGCCCAAAGACTGTCCCTGGTAAGAAACAGGAGTGCGAGCCCAACACGGAACACATCAACTAAAAAAACACAAGGTGCACCGGGCGAGGGGATGAACCATAATCATTCGTTAGGAAACGATGACTCGACGCAGCAGCAATGCGCAGCACGGCACCCCACTTCAGCTATGCACCCACGGCTAATGAATGACCGTTCGTCCCCCTCACTCTGATACGTGAAGCACCCCGCAATTGCGGACAAGAGAGTGGGCGGGCTCGAGGTGGGTCGCGGGTGGGTCGCGGGGCTGATCGGGGTCCGGTCGCGGGTGAGTCGCGGGCGGGTCGCGGGTGGGACGACGACAACAACAACAACAACAACAACAACAATCCGCACTGTGGAACCTTACTTCAACCACGCACCTGGCCAAACGGCCATCCACTGTCTCTCGGTGACACGCGACCTGCCTGCGACACACCCCGCGACTCACCCGCGACCCGTCCTCGACGCACCTGCGACCCACCCCGCGCCCACCGCCTCACTGTTATCCGCAACTTCGGGGTGCTACATGTATCCGAAGCACCCCGACAACAACAACGCAAAGCAACGCAACGCAACAACACTTCGCACTGAGGAAACCCACTTCAGCCGTGCACCTAGGGACAGTGAATGACCGTTCGGCACCCTCACTCTGGAAGACATATGTCTATATATATATATGTATATATACACGTGTATATGTGTATATCCATGTGCCCGCCACCATGCCCTGAGGGCACGACTTGGAGTGTGCTCAGGTCCATCGGGCTCTCAGGTCCTTCGAGCGCTCAGTCCTCACCTATACTACTGCATGGGGCCCGAACCCCAAATCTGCCTTTCCGCGTGGTCCCGCGTGACTTGTCCGGGGGCACGGAGGAGGGACCCAACACCGGCCAGCAGGGCGCCAAGAGGATCCTGAGACTGCCTCGGCGGGCTCCGAGTCGGTCCAAGGGCGCTCCAGGATGCTGACGATCGCTCGAGGCGGCTCAAGAGGCCCCTTAGATGCCCTCCGAGGGCTCCTATAGGCCACCCAAGAGGCCAACATCATTGATTTCATTTAGGTGTTGACCAGAATTTGGCGCCGCTGTTGCCCTGTCGGGTTTGCGTCCGATCAGACGGCCCCAGAGGCCCCAGACAGCCCAAGATGGCCCTAAGACTGCCCAAGAAGCCACCAAAGTATCCCAAGACAACCCCAAGAAAGGCCTGAGAGGGGGAACGCGACCCGACATTTCCAGAACTCCGCCCCAAGAGGACCACCCAGACAGTCAGCAGGCCCCCAAGACACCCCAGAAGCTCCAGGAGGCCCCGAAGAAGCCCGAGTCAGGCCACAAGAGGACACGAGAGCCCCCCCTAAGGCACAACGACGCCTCAGAGATGCTTCTGAGAGGGAGGTCCCCACAAGGCTCCTGAGAAATCCACACAATCACCAAGAGGCCTCTGACCTACAGCCAAGACAACTGGATAGATTAGCACCAACACGTGATACATATTGCGATTAAACACCAGACAAATTCCTACCGCTGAAGCAACGTACGTGCACAACTGAGTTTTGCCAATGTTGTGCGCGTCGGGCATGGAATGAATTCGTGTGCAAATGCAAGTGCGGGCAACTGCAACGCCTCATACTCCAAAACTCGGCCCAACACTACCAAAACCGCTAATCCGACGCGACTCGGCGGATGATGAGCTAATCCCAACACAAGCCGCAACGAATCAACAACTCTGAGCACGCCCGAAATGGGTAAAACCAACTGCCAAGATACCCAACAATAAACATTGCCAACAAACAGCGACGGCCGCTTCTGGGCATGCGACTAGTTGTCTCAAATGGGCAATGCCCGCAGCGACACCGACAGCGAGCCCCGTTCAGAATGGACAGTAGCTGCTGTCGATCTTCGCCCCCTTTTTTCCGTACCCATTTCGATCGCACTGCCCGTAGATACCTGCCACATGGAAGTCCATGTTCCCTGACAGGCGCGCCTCATCACGAAGTAGTCCAGGAGACAGAGGGTAACGCAGACACCGAGGAGGAACATCCAAGCTCCGACGGGCGCGGCCTGGCGAGCACAGGCGGCCCTGGGCCCCGACCCCCACCAGCTACTTTGCACTGTCTCTGTAAAAGTTCTCTCTCTCTCTCGATCTGTGATGGTCACACACGAACTGTTTCGGCAATCCTCTCGCGCTACTAATACAGGACAACGCCCGTTCTCGGCTTCGCTCGACCGCCGCTCCCGGTAACGTCAAGTGTCGCGCCATCGCCTCTGGAAATGCCGAGGAGTAGCTGAAGACAGCTAGACAGCTAGGCATGCAGGTCGGGATTTGCCGGGATAGCTAGTCACGGCGTAGGGGATTGCTAGGAGTAGCCACGACCAGCGGATGCAGCGCCTGTGCGCGCCACCTTGCGCCCGTGGAGGGACTTCACCACCATACACGCATCCACAATACGGGACACGACAAAGGAGGACACGAGGGGACAGCAGGGTCCTTCTGGGGCCTCCTAGCAGAGAGTCCCCAAACTCAGAAACCACGAACACCTGGGCCTAAGAGCTCATTCTGGAAACCATAATTCCACAACCACCGGCCTGTTGGGAGGGAGCGTGGTTTGCTTCCGCGGGCTTCCACAGGCTTTCCGCTGGCGGTGCCGCGCCCGTTTCACTTCCGCCGCCTCTCGCTGGCCTTCCGCCGAAGAATAAATTAAATTGCTCGGTCCGTCGAAGCGAATTCCCTCCCTGTTTCCTTCCCTTTTCCCTCCCTTTGCCATCCGTTTCCCTCCCGGTTCCTTCCGTACACCTCCTATTTCCTTCTGCGCCCTTCCCTTTTCCTTCCGTTTCCCTCCCTCCTCCTCCCGTTTCCTTTCCTTTTCGCTTCGTTTCCCTCTCTTTGCCCTTCCGTTGCCCTACCTTTTCCTTCCGTGACCCTCCCTCTTCCTCGCGTGTTCCTCCAATTTATTCGTGTTGCCCTCCCTTTTCCTTTCGTGTCCTTTTCCCTCTCGGTTCCCTCCATTTCCCTCCATGTTCGTTCCGTGTCCTGTTCCCTCTCGATTACTTGACAATTCCTTGCCTTTTCATTCCGTATCCGCATTCCTCTTGTTTCCGTCCGTGTGATTCCCTTTTCCTTCCGTGTCCTCTCCCCTCGTTTCCTTGCGTGTCCTTTTCCCTCTCTGTTCCTTCCGCTTCCTTCCCTGTTATCTACGTGTCCTGTTTTCCCTTTCGTTTCCTTCCGTCGCCTTCCCCTGTCCTTCTGCTGTGTCCCGTTTCCTTCCGGGACCTTTTCGTTCTCGTTTCTTTCCGTTCCCCTTCGTTTCCCCTCCCGTTTACTTCTACTATCTCTTCCTTTTCCCTCCCGTTTCCTTCCAATGCCCTTCCTTTTCCGTCTTCCCCTCCCGTTTAGCTCTCGCTGCCTTCCGTGTCCCTCTATATGTTTCCCTCTCGTTTCCCTTCCGTTCCCCTCTCGATTCCTTCCGTTCCCCAACCTTTTCCCTCTCGATGTCCTCCCGTTTCCTTCCGTGTTCCTTCAAATTCCTTTCGTCTCCTTTTCCGTCTCGTTTCCTTCCGCTTCCCTCCCTTTTCGTTTTCTTCCGTTCCCCGCCGGAGTTAAGTCATTCTTTATAAGGAACGGCTTAACTCCGGAGTTAAGTGATTCTGTGGTCGGGGGGAAGCACCAACCGTAGACTCATAGCTCCGGAAGTAAATCCTTTTGAAATTGGTAGCACTGGAAGAGCTGGAAACGATATAACTCCAGAGTTAAGTGGTAATTACCTTGCTGGTTTGAGCGATTTTCGGCCTCGTGGGAGCGTTTTGGGCGGACTCGTGGGGGAGACAGGGGGCTTAAAAGCCTGCGGGAGGTGTGGGGCGCAAGGGGGTTGGGAAAATGATGGGGGGGGTTCTGATGAAGGGGGGCCTTCGGGGCCGGATGGCAATAATGGTGAAGGAGCCGTCGAAAGGTCGTGGAGATGAATTGGGATGTTGGTCGAAAGGCGCGGGGTGTAGGGGGTGGGGAACGTGGTGGTGGTCTCTAACAAGGGGAGGCAAAGCATCGTTGCTACGAGTCTTTGGGAGCCTTTTCTAAGCGTCGGGGCCTTTTGGCGCGTGTTGGGGGCCTCGTGCAAGCCTCTTGGGCGGTCTCTGGGGGGGAACATAGAGGGCTCGGAAGCCGGTCGGAGGTGTGAGGTGCACGGGGTCGGGAATGCGACGGGCGGGCCTCGTGGGAGCACCTTGGACGAAGTCGCAGGGGAGGCAGAGGGCTTGAAAGCCTGCCGGAGGTGTGCGGCGCAGGGGGTTGGGAAGGTAGGGCGCGGGGTGTGGGGGTCGGGAAAGTGGCGGGGTGTCTAAGAAGGAGATGCGAAGCAACGCTGCTAGTGGTCAGCGGGAGCCTTTTGGCGTTTCGTCGGGGCTCTGGCGCGTGTTGGGGGCCACGTGGGGGCCTCTTGGGTGGCTTCTAGGAGGGAGATTGAGGGCTCGGAAGCCGGGCGGAGGTGCGGGGTGCGGGAGGGTTGGAAAGTGACGGAGGGTTGCGGGGAGGGGTGTTCCAAGCCTTTGGGCCCTTTGGCATTCATTTGGGGGCCCTGGGGAGCCTCCCGCGGCCTACTGGGTGGCCGTATGGGGACCCCTGGGGAGGCTCTCAGGGGCGTCTTGGATTTTTGTTGGGGGGCTTCTTTTGGTTTTTCTGACATATTGGGGCCTCCGGGGGAGCCCTGTGGCTCCCCTGGAGGCCCCAGGGCCAGGCAGCGCAGTAGATGGCATAACCGTATGCCCAGGCTTGTCCCAAGCCCTGCACTCCCGACGCGTGTCGCAGACACCTTTGATCCCGGTGAGTCTGACGCTGTCCAGACCTATCTTGGTCAAGATGAGTCTCAGCTTAGACTCTCCCGCATGGAACCAACGCACATGTAGCTTCCGCAGCTCGCGTGTCACCGCGCTTGGACTACACCTTCGTGAGTTTTGTACACTGACTTTTACGTCGAATCTTGACCAGTGCGGAAGTCGTGGGCGTGCAGCAAGGTTACCCGCAGGTGGCGATGGAGGTGGATATCCTCCTTGCTGTCGGCCACGTCTGACTCTGACCTGTGGCAGTCGGATGCGGCCATTCGGACTACCCATTCCGGTCGAGGCAGGTTGCCCTGCAGCAGGTTCAGCAGCATGTGTGCATACTGAAATGTCGTGGCTGCTGGCGCGCGCTGTGGGTTCGGCTCTAGAGCCGGGCCTTGGTGCTCGTAGCCGCACAAATGGTGGTGCGGCTTGGGCCTCGGGTGGTGGTGCTGCTGGTTCAGCAAGAGCCCGTGGTGCCTGTCCGTGATTGTCGGGCAGTTTCCAATTTGCCAGGTGTCCGTGCAAGTCCAGGCTTGTTCTGGCCGTAGTTCTTCTTGCAGCTCGGTCATTTCCAATGGTCGTCTCCCTGATCATACCACCTGCAATGCTTGGGTTTCTGTCGTGTGAGGAAGAATGCATGTTAGCATTATCCACGCATGCAAGACATCCTCACCCTCTCCAGGGCGGTCTCGTGATGGACCCGTCGGGTTGCCGAAGGATAGTTGGATCGTTCAATTCAAATCCCCCCACGTCGGTGACTACTCGGTGGAAGAATAAGGGTGACCATGAAAGGGATCACGGTTTACATGGAACAGATCGTGCGCGATCTGAACTGCACCGACGAAAAAAAAAAAAACCGCACCGCGAAGTCTAATGTGCAACCATGGGCAGTTCTTACAGACCGATGCAGGTTGATGATGGCCAGCGCATCGTTTGCGTTCGAAAGGTGTAAATCGAAGGCGGCGGTTTGCCATAATCTCGGTCGGTTTTCGTATCAGTACCCAATGCGAATCACGTGCGCCAGTAGTAAATTGACCCATACTCACTTTGCAAGCGCCCTTGCATTTTGCCAATGTGGTACATGGCGGTATCTGACCTTCCCAAGTACCCACTGGTTGTTCTCGTAAGTAACGACCGTCGAAAGTCGGCGTGCGACAACTTCCCCACATGACTCGATATGTGGAAGATCTTCTTTATGGTGTTCATGCCAAGTGTCATAGTTAGCTTGGGAAGTGGAATAGGAAGGTAGTCCAGTCGTTCTGCAGCTGGGTTGTATTATGACAACATTGTCGTCTTGGTAGTGCATCGCTGCATCCTGGGCATCATTGTTTCCAAGGTCGACATCCGAGCGTTTGTCCAAGTTTCCTCCGGATGACAAGCCTCGGCTGAATGCTAGCTGCGATATGCCTCCACTTCCTACACGCAATTCCAACATATCAACCTTGTTGTGTCGCCCATAGCATAACGTTGGGAGCATGGAGAATGCATCTACGTATGTTTCAGCAAACAGCCCCGCAGGTAATGCGATGCAGATTTCCTCTTCACCATCGCTGTCCGTGTCGGAGTCCCGGGGGGCGTCGGTGTAGTGCGCGCTACATCCAAGACCTTTGAGGCCATCACCGCAGTCGTCGTTGCCTTCTTCGACTGCCTTGGGTATCTTGCGCGGCTTGATGCCCGCTTCTTTGTCGGCTGTCTGCATGTCTTTTTGTTTGATTCGGGCATCCGTCGGTAGTGCTGTCTGCGATTCGGCATGAGGTGAACTTAGCGTCGGAAATTCGGTCATCGACGGGGGCACGCTGCCACGGTCAATCGCAGGGGAAGGAAGACGATCGTCATCGACCAACGCAACTCGCCTTAGGCGTGTTCGCTGGTCCTCTTGTCCGGTGAGGACCGGTTCTTGCGGCTCCCAGTATGGGCGAGTACGGATATCTGTCACGCCATTCGGTAACGGTGCATTGTCATGGTACCCGATGGGCTAGACCTGGATCTTGATGTCTTGTAAAATCTGGTTGTCGCCCAAGTTTATCGTTGCCCGTCTTGCGACACGGCCCCATTCAAGGCCATTATTTGGATACTGACGATAAGTTCGAGTTCCTGTACCCACTCGTGTGTAATGCTAAGGTGTACAGCACTTGTGCGGTTGTTCTTTGTTATGTGTAAATCCAGTTGGTAAATCAATATCGTGGTCTTAATAACAAATGTTTTGTTGCGCCATCCTGCCTTCTGAGCGCCTTGGCCATGCCAGTCCA